CGGAAGAACATATATCATTTCCCAAATATTTATGATATATAACATGTGCAAAATTTCGATATTAGTTTACAGTGCAAAAAAGGCACATTGCTTTCTCATAAAAAAATAATAAATTATTTACTATTCTTAAAAGGAATGCAGCAAATTTACAAAGAATTTTGCTATCCAGAATTTATGTTTGCTTTAAATTTGTTTTGGCACTTTTGATAAGAAAAATGTTTTATTTTTATGAACCATACAATACAAGTGTGGCGCCATAGTAAATTCATTTCTATTTAAAATTTTATGGGATATTAAATTTATGATCATTTTCAATGCTCATTTAAAATGGAAACCACAAATTATATGATGACCTACACTAATTTGAATAAACAATAGGGTATATCCGCACTGTTCGAATCGTCGTAGCGTACATTTATTATGTGCAAATATTGACACGAAATTTTCCACAACGTATCAAATTGAGACTAGAATGATGTTATTGCGTTTTGTTGAATTTGGTGCAGATACATATGCAGCTTCCATATATATTCCAAACAGGTGTATGATTGAACTTCAATTTTTGAAGCGTGTGTCATGTTTGCTCCGAGTAGCGTGAGTCATGTTTGCCCTACATCGATTTACATAAATTTGTCCCATTGTACGCAAACGTCTATAAACTTGCCAAAATGAAATGAAATTTAGTATAGGCTCCAGGAAGGCATAAAGATCACATTTTCAAGTTCGTTCAATTTCATGTCAATATTCTTTCGGAAAGGCTGAGTCTTTCTTTCCTTACTGTTTTTTTCCAAAAATGAAGCCGTTCGGCAGATACACGCAGAATTGTGGAAAAATCAGAGTCTCAGAGTTTTTTTTTCAATAATTGCACAAAAACATATATAAATAAACGGCCCATTTTTGATCAGACTTCGTATCTGTATTTTGAGTCTTAATGGAGGAGAAACAAGTAAAAACGTCGTTATGTTCGGCCGGGCTAAACTTTTTTACCCTCCACCATGAGAACATTCAAAATACAAAATTACAGCCAATTTCGATTAAAAACGTCCCCAACATCCCAAAAATACCGAATATTGAGGGTACTTTAATAAGGGGGCTACCCCAAATCTTGGGTCAATATTAGTCATTTTTATAAGGAAGGTTCGCTATATATAAGAATCTCGATATATTAGAATACTCGTATTCTGACATTGTTTAGTATTACCATTACCAGAATATAGGGCAGAAATGTCGCGCTGAGGGCTAGGAAATTTTGCATTGAAGTCCCGATTATGTTCAAGACGACGCCTATAATTTTCGATGATGATTAGATTATATTTTGCGGATAAAATAGACCGAAAACGAACATCATCGTCTTTCCATGGGAAAGACGATCTGGTCAAATGTCATGAAACTTAATGGTCAGTGGTAGTTGGGTAGGGTATTATATGGTCGGCCGCGTCTGACTATATTGCTCCGTTCACTGGTTTAAAAATAGCAAATTATTTATTATTTTTATACCCTCAGCTACGCAAAACTGTTCCTTATCGAAATATTGATTTTAAACCCACTCCTTCCGGTACCTCCCTTATAAATGGTCAATATTTTATAAACTTATACATTTAATATGAAGCGAATTGCAAACCGATTTGATCAACATTAAATGCGAAACCCTTTTGATAAAAAACATATACATATATATACAAATAAAAGTGTAAAGTGATTGACTGACTGACTTAGCGATTCATCAACGCCCATACGAAACGGTTGAAGCTAGAATTTTGAAATTTGGGCTGAGGGTTACCCTTGGCCTAATGTACTAATGTGGTACCATTTGTATTTGGCGAACCGGTGCAGCTTGAATGTAGGATAGATGCACAAAAGGGCTTCTGGAAATTCGAAATCTAAGTATCCAAAAAATAGTAAAATGTGCTAAATGTGTTACAATTTTGTAGTATGTGAACGGATATAGGTAAAAACTTCAAATTTGGAATGCGAATCAAGGTTGAGAGGTAGGATCGATATAAGGAGGTAGTTTTGAAAGCTTGTACTCATGTATACGAAAAGTACTAATTGAACTAAATTTGGTACAACTTGAATTTAGATACGCGGATGAAGCAGGAATCCTGCAATTTGAAATTAACATTATCGTAGGAGTGTAGGATAGTGATATGTAGTTAATTTTGGAAATATGTAGGGGAGACTGGGGCACCTTCGGCATCGGGGCACCTTCGGCAATCGCGTTTTCGATATGAAGCTCTCACCGTACATCACTAGTTTCGATACATAGGTATCGAATATCGAAATAAATAACTGACACAAAGTTTGAAATTTCTAGCTAATAAGCTTATTTAGATACACAGGTTTTTGTGTTTTTAAAGATGTTTCTGTAATATTTCAATCCCATTTCGTAAGTATTTCGTGTATAAAACTTTTAAAATTTTTAAGACAATATTATTAAAAAGTGGTTAACTACGATGTGTATTATTACTAAAATGTTTAAAAATATAATGTTTTAGAAATCTGATCGAAAAAAATGAAAAAAACTATAAAAAGTACATTCGGGGTACATTCGGCATTTTACAATGGGGCACATTCGGCCATATACAGATTGTGCAATATTATTTCCTTAAAATGTTTTTGAGTTTGTCTTTAAAACTAATCCTTTAATATGGCTCGAAATTGCATATTTAAGATCAAACGTGCTTGTATTGACGAAAATGCGATAGAAAACCCCTATTTCTGATGGTGTGTGCGACCTTGAGATGTAAAGGTCCGCCGCTAGAAAATAAAGCCATATAATTCAAACATTGTGTGGCTTATTAAAACCAAATAGAGCCTTTAGAGGATCAGAATCTCAACCAGTCTGATAGCGATGACAATTACCCGGCTATGACTATGGTGCCGAATGTGCCCCATCAAATGCCGAAGCTACCCCGGGTTGGGGCACATTCGGCAAATTTGACTTTTTTTACAAAACTGTAAAATTTTTTAACTAATACTATTTTTTTATATCTTTTTGGTACTATTTTTTATAATTAAGAGTCAGAGGACAATAATCAGCCATAAAGTTTTTATATATGTTGAATAAGTACTGAGATATAGAGCTCTAAAAAAAAAGTGCCGAAGGTGCCCCAGTCTCCCCTACTTAGATGCGCGAAAAGTACTAAATGGTACTATATTTGGATATTGGGTGAAGCAATAGAGCTGGTATTCTGGAATTTGAATTTAGGGTTACTGTTAAGGTGTAGGATTGGGGCATGTAGGAAGTTTGGGAATTTTTTACTAATGTGTACTAAATAGTACCAAATGTGTATTTGGGCGAACCGATAGAGCTAGAAAACCGAAATTTGGAAATAGGGTTACCTATTGAAGTGTAGGATTGGTGTATGGATTCAGTTTTGGTAATTTTTACTTATGGGTACTAAATGGTACAATTTGAATTTTGGGTGAACCGATGTTGAAGTTGTGGTGGGAAATGCGTACTAATGTGTACTAAATTAGGTACAATTTAAATTATAAGTGAAGCGATAGAATTGGAATCCTGAGATAGGGATATAAAATTTTCATAGGTTGTATAAAATTTTCATAGGTTCATAGAAAATTGCAAGACGTTTTGGAAGATTGTAATAATGTGTACTAAATGGAACCAAATGTGTAATTCCGAAGAGCTCCTCAAACCATAGGCTGGGGCTATATATACACTTTTTTATTGATAGTGTATACCAGCAACGTACACAGGATTTCATTTCGGGGGGGCCCGGTAGTACAAAATGAAAAAAATCGGTGTTGCAAACATGAATTTACTGTGAAAAAGTTTGATTTCGGGGGGGGCCCGGGCCCCCCGGGCCGCCCCCCTGCGTACGTCCATGGTGTATACAGCTCGAAATCCCGAATGGAATGTCGTGTTGAATGGTTATCGAGTACAAAATAAAGACGCGTAGTTATTAATGATATCCATGGCACTATCATATCATGACTGTCATTATCACGAACTAGAGAATTTTCATCTGAACGCTAGCCCCGGTCTATGAAAGATGTTCTCAATACTGCATTCTAAATAAAATGTACGAATGTCAAGGATGAAAAGAAAATTTAATGTAATAAACCATTAGACGGAACAGAAAAGTCGGACGAACCGACCATACGATATCCTACATAACTATCCCTACACTTAAAATGTCAGGGTAATATTTCAGCATATTTTCACGCTACAGTGTGATAATGATAATACTAAACAATATTAGAATATTGTTTTTATTTATCTCCCATATTAAAATCTGATTTAAGGTCAAGAGTTCCTTTATCATACACTATCTAAAATCTTATGAGAGACACTTCTTAAGAATATTTGGAAAAGTCTTGTGATAATTAGTTTACGGGTCAAGGAAATAAGACGGAAAGCATACACAAGGAATTAAGTTGGAGGGACGAAATGTTCTACATAATATTCCACATTCGATTTTTCATTCACAAAACTCTCAAAAATAATCAGCAGTATCTACAAACAAAGATTTAAAGCGATTTCTTCAGTCAGCAGTAACAAATTTCTCAGCGCACAACTAAACAATTTTTGTGTGTTTGTCATCTTGATACATTGTCCCCCTTTCTTTGATCAATCAATTTTCTTCCCAAGGCATCTTCAATTCATTACAGTGGAAAATGGAATTCCCCTTTTGCAAAACTAATATTCCCAAACTGCTCGTGGGAACCCCCCTACGCTAAGTGATGTTCTTCATTCAAAGCATTTAAAATTGTGTGGCTACAAAACGATAAACTAAAAAAGAGAATTTATTTTCCTTGCTACAAACTAAACTCAACAAAATGAGATTATGTTCAAAGGAAATAAGCTGTGGTTGCAGTCAACCACAATTCAACGTTTGGAAGAAAGTAAAGCTCAAAAAAGTCCCCTTTTTGTGGGACTAAACCATTCTTAAATATAAATTGCAAGAATTTATTCAAAATTAATTTAGTATTTCGCAAACATTTGGTGGCAGTAGAATATCGACTTCGACGAGGATACAATGAATTTTAAAACAGCTTTCGTATTGTGGGCCTTTGCCATTGTCAACATTGAAGCACTGGTATTGTATTTGAAATGTAAATAAATTAAATCAACATTAACTTCCACTTTCTTGTTTTTTTTTCAGAATACAACAACAAATTTTATGAAAAATTATTCAAATTATAATGTCTCAGTTTTACGTACCGATAATTATCTGGATTTAAATCGTCGACAATATGCCGATCACATTTTGGAATGTGAAAAAACGGTGGATGTGTTTCGGAAACATTTTACAGAGCGCCTGAATTCTATACAACTGGTGTTGGATATGTTGGTGACGGATATTATCAAAACCAACGAACACTTAAATCCGCTTGAGGTTTTGAGTGATATCAGTAAAGATTGTGTGGCAAAATATCGTTCAAAAATACCAACAGTTGCGGTAACAAAAACCTCAATGCAGGCGTGTATAACGGCAGCTCAAAATCAATTGAATAACATCGTGAACGCAGCGGTGACAACAAAAGTAAATCTCTATAATTACTATCAAAATAATATGGAACGAGATTTGAAGGCATGCACCACAAAACATCCGGCACAGGATAATCATTTTACAGAGTGTATTGCAAAAGTGGTGAGTATTACCAAACTAAAAAAAAAATAATTGAAAAAAATAGTTCCAAAATCCTCGCCTAAGGCTCTGATAGTGGTTGAAAAAATAATTTTAAACCAGTGAGCGGAGCAGTATAGTCGTACGGGGCCGACTATATGATACCCTACACAATTTCCACGAAAATCTATCTTTCTGTGGTTCTATATTCTAAACACGCAAAATATTTCGATATTTGCACCCTTTTGACCACTAGAGGTCATCAAGTATTACTGATATTTAGTACAGCCCTTCTAATTACTTGTCCAGATTCCCTTCACCGTGGGTTTTGTTGTGATGTTCGGCTTTCAATTGTGGCCCATAGAATAAAATAATTTGAAAAAATTCACGCCTAAAGCTCTGATAGTCGTTGAAAAAATCCACGCCCAAGTCTCTGATAGTCGTTGAAAAAATCCACGCCTAAAGCTCTGATAGTCGTTGAAAAAATCCACGCCCAAGTCTCTGATAGTCGTTGAAAAAATCCACGCCTAAAGCTCTGATAGTCGTTGAAAAAATCCACGCCTAAGGCATTATAGTCGTTGAAAAAATAATTTGAAAAAATCCACGCCTAAGGTTCTGATAGTTGTTGAAAAAATAATTTGAAAAAATCCACGCCTAAGGTTCTGATAGTCGTAGAAAAAATAATTTGAAAAAATTCACGCCTAAAATACTGATAGTCGTTGAAAATTTATTTAAAAAATCCACGCCTCTGATAGCTATTGAAAAATAATTTTAATAAATCCACGCGTAAGGCTCTGATAGCCATTGAAAAAATAATTTAAAATTCTTTAAAATCTTTAAAAAAAATATTTTTTAATTTTTTTATATTTTCAGATTTCTGCAGCTACGGCTCATACGCGAACCATGATTAAACAATTCCACAATCAAATGGACGCTGCCCATTGTTCATCGAATGCTCAAATTAAAACCGCATTAGATTGTAGCTTTAGTGTTCAAAATCGTACGATAACCATGAATGCTGAAGCAAATCTAATGATAGACAGATGTATACATGGACTGGACGATTGTGAACGTTGTAGCGAAGGACGATTCTGTGAAAATGTTTACTATCTACCACAATATCAAGTGGACTTCAGTAATTCAACAATGTTAAATCCATTCTATGGTCGTAATACGACAACAAATTGTTTGCTAATTGAAGTTTATTAGGGTGGGTCTATTTTGATGATTCTATTTGATTTTAGATTTTTAAGTGAGGTTGTGTAGTTTTTAAAGAAATCGTAATTATAAATGTAAATTGATTTTGAACAGTAATTTTCATTTTTTTATATTTTTAATTTATTAATTTAAGAAAATATAATTTTAAAAAAAAAATTTTTCTCTTATTTTCATATCAGTGTTACGAAGGGGGTCCAATAATAAACAGAGGTTTTATATGAATAACAATACTTTTATAATCACATTTAATTCTCGAATAATACACTGCTGTTAGTTATATTTAGAGATTACTTACTGTTTTATTAGCCCATTATAAACAATGTTATTATTTTAGTATATTTATAGTATAAATCTTGAAAAAAAACAAGATAGAAGGTAGGTGGATTTTCATGGAATGGAATGTAAAACGTGATTCCATTGAAAAGGGTTGGATTCGGAAAGGCAAACAAAACTGAACAAAGAAAAAAAAGACCTCGATACGATAAGACAATGAAAGAATCAGTGACCAATATATTGATGGGTGACAAATCATATTGCAACTGATAACAATGATGTCAGTTCATTCAACATACATGAAGGTTTTAAAGGGAAAAACTTCTCATTTTTTTCTCAAGTTTTTATTTAATAAAATCAAGTCCCAATAATTGAGTATTTTTTAGGCAGAATTATATTGATGTATTCTGTAGGGTATTCCATAGTCGGCTCTGACCGACATATATAAGTCAAAAGACGGCCTTACGAAATGCAGATTAGTATAAGGGAAGTAGGTTTGCGATAAGGCAGGGTTTTTGTAATCTTACATTTAAATTTACTCAAAATTAGTATAGCAACTGAAGAATTCTGGAATCTATTAAAAAAACTATAAGAACAGATTTGTACAATTTGATCCTGAAAGGTAAAATTTAGTAAAATACATTAACTATGATATATGAAAAAATTGTCTTAGGAAACAAGAGTTTCTCCAATTGGTATTCAAAGAAAAATGCCAGATTTTGATACACATAAATGATAAAGCGGAAGGCATGGCATTAAAAACTACAAACATTATCGGTCAAATGGCTTTCGCCAACATGACTATATCCTTTTCATCAAATTTCGAGGCCTGGGCTTTAGTTCGACGTTGGGCTGTTGGCGTAGACTATATGCTTCCCGGGGGCCATAAATGAAGATACCACCAAGTTTTACATAAAATTGCCGAAAAATCAAATAATCTGCGAAGGTTTGTGGCTCTTGTAGATAGTTACTAACGTTTTTTAGTGACCTCCTTATTAAAAAGTATGACATATTCAAGAAATAGCTAGAAGAAATGGTTTATTGAGGACCATATATCGCTCCATTTTGGAAAACGCCTAGGCGTCGATTGGTAAAGGACTGACTATTATGTACCTTTTCAATTTTTGAAGGACTTGCTTTAAAATCAGGGTCCCAAAAGAGGTTTTCGACTGTATCTCCGAATGATACACATTTTGTACTCCTCGGTCCCGTAAAACCGGGTATCCATATAGCACGTATGGTTCCAAAAAACTATGTACGTCCTCCAAGAAATATGATCGGCCATATTTTGGGTCCTTGGTGCATAATTTACTCAAAATCGGACAAAAATAAATATGGGAGCTATATGTAAAGATATTTCAACAAAACTTGTCACATGATATACTATCTTCAGTACGTTGTGCAAAATATTGTGGCAATCGGCCTAACTTTGGGTTTTTGGTGCACCATTTACTTGAAATCGGATACAAATATATATGGAAGCTATATATAAATCTAAACAGATTGTAACAAAAATTGACACACGTTAGGTTATACTAACTTCAGTATGTTGTACAAAATGTAGTGGAGATCGGCTTAACTTTCTGTCTTTGGTGCACCCTTTACTCAATATCGGACGAAACTATATGTATATGTAAATCTGAACCGATTTTTTTTTCAATTTCAATAGGGTTCGTCCTTGGGCCAAATAAATGAGCTGTGCCAAATTTAATTCAATTTGGGTCATAAATGCGACATGTTCTTTTTTACAATTTAACATCGACTCATAAAGTGATTCTATGCATATTCTCAAAAGGAACCATGTGCCAAATCTATAAACATCGTTAAGTTCAATATGGTGGTGAGCAGTCAATATTCGTTAAATTGGTCGGAACCTTTCTTTGGGGACTTTGCGATTGCATTATGTGATAGTTGGTTGTTCATGCTCTGTAAAAATAATGTTTCAAATTACAATTACTCATTAAACGGAACAGCTGCATGAGAATCCGATATGCCAATTTATATACACTTCGATTAGAAAATAACTAATACCGAAAATGGAGCGAGACCTTTATGTGGCGGGTATATCAAAATTTGGAAGTATATAGACACTTTTATGCACCAGAAGGAGTGAAGCAATGAGTCCCATCTTCGGTCTTGATCAGGGCTTGGTAAAGTTAATAGTTTGTGCAAGGTTTGGTTCAAATCGAACATTCCATTCGTCTTAAATTGGATTTATAAATATTGGTGGAGAGCCCCATCTTCCTACATGAAGTTGTTCAATTGTTGGAATCGGATACTCCCTTCGAGAGTTATCGTGCGCACCACTCGGTCAGACAGACGGAAGGACATTTGTAAATCAACTCCAAATTGTCTGAAACGGATTTGATTAAAAGAAACATGGGGCCTAAAATCAATATTTCAAAGAGGCACATTTTCACCGTATCAATGTATATATACCCTCAAAGTATATATACCCCTATACCCTATAAGGCTGAGGGTATAATTATTAAGAAGTTCGATAATCGGTCCACATTTATGGCAAATAAATGTACTCCTAATTCTCGATATTTATAGGATTTTGGACATGTTTTTTTCGATCGAAGTGGTTGTAATTTGAAATGTTGGTGTGGATTTTTTAAAGATCGTCTTACAAGTCTAATCTTAGGCCTGGTTTTTTTTTAACATGAGAAATGGTTTTTGGATGTGGAGTTTTTTTTATATATCCATTCTATAAATTATATTTAGGTATAATTTTAGAAATGGATTTTTTAAAATATTTTTTAAGTCTACTTTTAGGCGTGGATTAAAAAAAATATTTGTAGGTATAATTTTAGGCGCGGATTTTTAAATATAGGGTATTATATATTCTATTTTGACGTACCTATTCCCTATTGGTGTTAAAAGAAAATATGATTTAAATTTTCTGCATATTTAAGTGTATTTATTTATTTTTATATTTTCAAAATAAATAAGAAAAAGTGGAAATTTTTTCTTACTGGGCACCAGACCAAATTTCCAAAGTTAAACATTTTTCAGTATTGTTACGACCATGGAACGGGTTGACCATTGTAAGATTTTTATAATCAACCAAATACGATGGTAGTTGAAGAACATTTTCACAATAATATCCCTCCTTGCCGTTACAATTAGAATCAGTTTCTTGTTTCTCAGCTTCATGAAGACACTGTTCGATGAGGGTGGTGGCACGTTGAATATTTGTCAGGGTACTGTTTTGTATTGAAAAAGCCCACTCATGTGCCTGCTTAGCATAGACATTCGAATTGCCCTTGGCTGTTTCCAATTGTAGGGAAAATGTCTTTTGATTACTTGCGGTGTAGGCATTTGAAGCGGCGACCTGAAAGAAGAGTAACTTATTTTTCTAGTTTTTAAAGAAAAATAAGATGTTGTAATTATAACTCACCACATCAGCCAAACACTGGGTATAATTCACGGGATAGGATAAATTAAATCGGCTACGACAATTCGTAACACCCTTTTCAAAAGTTCCAACGTAATAGTTACTCAATGTACGATTGGTTCCTATTAAAACATTGGTTAATGCCTGGGCTCTACCCCAGATCATACAACGGTCCAGTTCGCTTTGGGCAGCCATTTCAGAGGATATCAAATGTTGATATTTCAGAACACATTGTCGACTGAAATCACTCAGTAATTTCAAAGGTAATAAATTTTCGTTGACACGTGCGATTTCATTTACGAGAGACTTTTGCTGAATTGCAATGGAATTAATGCGATCCAAATAGCCATCGCGGAATGTTGTAATTTGTAAATCATAATTCCAAAGATGGAAATTATTTTGTCGCCTTACAGCTTCAATATATTCATCGTTACGTATCAAAGAACTATTGTGGGTGTTATAGTAATTTTGAAGACCAGTCTGAAAATGAGATTTCAAAAATTTATTGTCTCTAAGGAAGTTTAGGAGAATCTACTTACATTTTGCTGGGCCTTCGCAAAAACCAGCAAGACCAAAAAGGAGACGAGTTTCAACAAGAACATTTTGCTTTTTTAATATTAAACTGTCGTTTTAATGTCCTTGTGAAAACTGTGAAATTATTTAAAATTGTTTTTGTTTTTATACCTAAAATCTAAAAATTATTCAGAAGTTTTATTCTCTGTTATTATATTTGTTTAATATCTCGGTATGTTACATTTTGATTCATATAAAAAAATACTGAGAAAATGGTAATTACTAGTAGAACGATCACTTATTTCTTTATTATGTTTACCTTTTAACTGTAAATAATTATATAGGTTAGTTATGGACACAAAAGCTGAAAGATAATATTTTTGTCTTATGGAGATGTTTTTTTTTTCTGATTTGAGAAAGTAACACTAGTACGAGATTATTATCGGTGAGGTTCATTTGTTACTTACATTTGTTTTGAAAATCCACGCCTAAGTCTCTGATGGTCGTTAAAAAAATATATTTAAACCAGTAAGGAAAGCAGTAACATCGGACGGGGCCGACTATATGATAACCTTCACCACTAGGGGTATATTAAACAGGACTATTAACATGAAATTGGATGAACTAAATATATGATATTTTTCTAAATTTGAATCGACTTAAACATGTCAATCGATTGTTATAATGGGACAAAATTATGTAAATCGACTTCAAACAAATATCAATAGGACATCCGTGAGCTATGTCTGTACTTCTAGAAAAGCAACTGCGTTATTCTATGCTCAATTTTGTATGTTGTGTATAA